GGTCAAAAAAAAGAATTTGCCTCCATTTTGAGTTGATGTGGAAGTTACAATCAAGACAGTGTGTAATTAGTTATTTAACAACTGTCAGTGCCACCACTCATCATAACATGATCATAACTGACATTTGTTTCTTCCTTTATAGCTTAAAATCCCTGATAACATGTCTTATCTCCTTTGAGCCCTTTAACAATCTTTATTTTCCTCATGAGGAGCTGAGATTAGAGGAAGGCCTAGAGTCTAAAATAATAAAGACATGCTAAGGGGAAGGTCAAGATATTCTGGCCTACTAAGAATAGGATGAGAGCGAGAATATGATAATATAATAATCTTTAAATATTAAAAATATAACTAAATTGCTTGCCACACGTAAACCAAAGATAAAATAGATGAAGTTAACTACTATCATCAATAATAGGAAAGCAAAGATGAAATTTTTTTCTAATGCACTGATATGACCCTATTGTTGACAGGAACAACTCATGTTAAAATGAGTTTTATTAGCAGTAGAGAAGAATACATAGGAAACTTAGCAACAATTTCTATCTAAATAGGTGGCCTTTTTTGTTATTTGTTTCTTAAAATGTGGGAAGATTAAAATTAAATTACCTTTCCAAACCATTGCCATAGAATTTCTCAAATTAATATGTAAGAAGATATACAAAAGCTTAATTTCTAATTTAAAATATGACTGCTGAAAAAAATATTAAAAAAATGACTGCTGGCCAGTAAAAGCATGTTAGCAATAGAAAGAGAGGGTTTTCTTAATGTCCATCAAAGATGACTTCCTTTGTTCTTGTTTGACCCTATCTGACCCAACTGCTCAGAATTTTTCAATATGAACCATACTGTGAAGATTTATTCCTAATATTTACAAGGAGAAAGAATACAAATTAGCCTGGTGAGCAGCAAAATAGAGGCAGTTTTTATGAAACCTGAGTTGTGTTTACCTGCAATCAAATGTAATCTCCATTTTAATATTTATACATCTTTATATTGTTATGAACTTATTCTTAACATGGGCTTTATTTTATTTGTTTCTTTCCTCCCTCACTTCTGCAAAAGGCAGAAGGGAAAGGATGTTTGTTAGTCACACATTGTACCCCACTAACTGGTGTTATACATCTGGCTTCCACTGGAGAGCCCCTGACATCGCAGGGAACGGTGATCAAAATTCCACACACTAGCTTCAAGCTGGGGGCTCGTAGCTACTGCAGCATTGGAAGGGGTCTTTTCCTGGCTTCTTTAAAAAAGCATGGTGATGGGATGGTTTAAGGGAAGAACACCTCTCAAATTACATAACCATTGCTGTGCTTCCGTGTGTCCTGCTTTCTTCATAACAGCTTGGCACTACATTTTTTCCCTGTATCTTAATGGGCTTGTGTGTGTACAAGTGGGAGGGGGTGGGGAGAGTTATCAGTGGATGGTTATACATTATGCATGCATCTTTCAATGTTAGAGTGATGTGCCTTCCCTTATGTGTCACAGATTATGGTCACAGATTAAAACTTCTGTGCTCCTGAGAGATTGGACTATCTCTCTTATTGATGTGAGACTCATGTGTTTTGATGTTTACACCCTCAGTTGTTCTTCATGCTGCATTAAACATAAGTAGAAATGTTCTCCCATAAGAGTTAGCTTTTCATGTTGGGCTGAAAAAGTCATTTCTGTGTAGCAATTCATGTTATTATAACCTATGGCTTTCAATTGTACCTCCCATAATGAAGAGCTGACTTTAAACACTGTGCTATTCTATTATGACCTAAGCATAAGGTAAGTCACTTCTCTAACTGTATCTAAAGATTGTGGTTGTTTGTTAAAATTTTCTCAGCTTTGTTTAAAGCATTTTCACTTTTTTCCTTACCATTTATTACATGATCTCCCCCATTTGTTTTCTGTTTCATGGCTTAAGATTTCTTACTAGGCAATGTGATCTTCAGCAAAAATTATATTACACATGTAAATACATGTTGAAATGAATTAAATGAATTATTTGATGTCTGAAAGCAGTCTTGATTAGTAAATGAATACCTATGTTTTCAGTAAGTCTCTTGTGTTTTTCATTTCCTCCATTGACTGTAATATAATAATGCAGTTTCTACACATTATTTTAGCTTAATTCCAACTGAAAGGGAAATTGTTAACACCATAAAGTTAGATGTTAATTGTTGTAAAATAACATAATCCAATAAAATAAAGTAATAGATAATTCAATACCATATCTTTCATTTTTAATCCCCAACAAATTTGCTATTAGGCCAAAATCTCAGTTTCATTTTGTTTTTCAAACTTCCCTTAGTTCTTTCCCCACTGACGAAAAAGCTAGCGTAATATTTTTAAAAACAAAAAATAGTAAACTGTAAAATTTGGGACAGACCTGTGTTGCCTTCTTTCTAATCCATAAGCATGAAAACAAGAACAGTAATTGTTCCTTTATTTTTTCAAGTAAATCCCATTACACTGTGAGTTAGGTAAAATCTTCATATTGGGATTTTATAAAATTAGGTAAATATTATTAAGATGACCAGTTTCATGGTGCAAAAGAGAGGGGCATCCACTTGTGCATAAATATTTTAAATGTCTTAAAATTATTTTCCTAAGTTTTTTCATATATACTCAAGATCACTAAAGTAAAGAATTTCATGAAATCATTGATTTAAAGTAATTTCCCTCAAATCTAGGTCAAATTGCCAATGTAATGTAATTGGGAAAACATTGGTTATACTGCTGTTGGCAATTTGTGAACCTAGATGAATATTCAAATTCAGGAAGCTGAATTGTTTTTTTACTACCCAAATTTCTCTTCCAAAACCATGAAATGTATAGTTCTAAACTCTAAGACTTTGGGTTTCATTATTAAATTCATTAAAGACTCTAAGACTTTGGGTTTCATTATTAAATTCATGCTATGAACAAATTTTTTAATTTTTAAGCCACCTAAGGCAGGAGAGGGTTGTTTTTTGTTTTGTTTTGTTTTGTTTTTTAATTGCTGTTTTGGTTTGGTTTGACTTTTTTTGGTAAAACTAGCTAGTTCTTCACCACCATTTCCATTTAGATGTTATAAAAATCTGTTGAAACATTTGATGAGAACAATTTGAACTACGCATCTGAACTGCTTTGTTCATTATAAATCTCTTGTTTCTATCCACACACTAGCTCCACTCTAGATTGGAAGGGCTTAAAGATGAACTCTGGAGGAATAGAGGCTACGACTTAAGAGTAACTATTACTGATCAAAGGAGCTGCTTTCCATTCGCAAACATTGCTTTGCGCTATGGGTTTGGGCTCCTTCTGTTTCTGCATCTTGTTGAAGAATTTCTTGACTTCCATTTGACTTCTTTGAACTCTGTTTTTGTCTTTCAACATCTTCCCCCTTTTTTTTCCTTCTCTCTCCCAGATTTTTCTCACTCTATTAGCTTTCTCTTGTGTTTCTTGAACGGCTTTTTAAAATGTAGTTTCTCTCTTTATTAAGCTTATCTATTAATTTGTCTTTTAGTGTTTGTTTCTTTTCTCCTTTAAGGCTGTAGTGGTATAGTTACACCTATCTTCATTCCATGGTATGCAAACTTGCTTGTTTATTTTGCAGCAAGTTCATTAGTGATTCTTACCCTCTTGGTATGAATTTTCAATAAGAAATAGCAGAACATTTTGCATTTACATAATGTCCCCTTCTATAAGCTTATACTTTCTTTCCTATTGTCTAGACTTACTTCCCCAAACTTCTCTTTCTTCTTTTTCTTTTCCTCACTCTCCTATATTCCTCCTGTATTTTTGTTTCAAGTAGTCATTAATTTCCTTTCCCATTTGGCCCAGAATTGTTTTTTAATAAAACTTCTGAGTAAAAGAATATAAGAATATTATTTCCAGATTAGCTTCTTCTAGTATATTTAAAACTAATTAATCTGGGCCAAAAGAGAATAACTTTAACATCTGGAATTATTTTTCCCTTTTTTTCCCCTTTTTTGGTGTGTGTGTGTGTGTGTGTGTGTGTGTGTGTGTTTCTTGTGTGTATGTTTGTGATTTTTTTTTTATTGTTGTTTCTTTAAACATTAACAATTGTTCTTTTCAGGGAAGGACAACCATAACCCACCTTAAGTTGCAACATTCCTTTCATAAGTTGTTTCATTACAATAGTAGATTGTGTTAAGCAATAGAAATTAATTTGTTGTGTGTATGTGTATATATATATATATATATATATATATACATATATATATATATATGCATTTGGGGCAAGCTGCTGTGGAGTGGGAAGAAGAGGTATGCAGTTTAAGCACAATTTCCTCTGATATTAACAAATGTTAGTGCCATCTAACTGCTCTTGACTTAAATACTTTTGTAATATTTAAAATAATGTTCACTTTGACCTGAACTATTTGAATAAAAGCGTAAGGGTTTCTGACTGATAAACTCTATAAACACCTAAGAACTAGTAAATAAATGAATTCAATTTTATTGATTTCTAACAAAGGCATCTTTCATTGTCCATATTATATTTATAACCCATTATTTTAATCAGTAAACAAAAGTCATTGGAATCACATAAATATTGTACATGAAGATTTGTTTTGCCCTTACCAACATGTATAACTAAAAGTTACCAAAACAAAGTATTTTATTACAACTTTATTACTTGAATTTCATTATTAGTCTAGTCAAGAGCTATCACAGTGCCTTAGGATTAGGGGTCCGTATTCATAGCTGTATGTAACATTTCTTTCCATATACTAATTTCAATACACATCCATAAAAAATTGCCTTTGGTTTTGCCTCTGTCCCATTTATAATATTTTACCCCCAACTTTTTTCTAGAAGTCTGCTCTTTCTTTACAGTAAGAAAAATATTTTTAAAATATAGAACAAATATAATTTTACTAATATTACATCTGCAATATATTAAGCCTTTGCTCCTAAACCTCAGGAGCTTGCCCATTAAGTATGCATACGTATCTGGCTATCTATGTTATGAGCCCTAAATTACTGAGTTTATGCTCTCTCTGCAGGTCCAGTCCAGGTGCAGCAGCAAGGAGAACATTCTCAGAGCCAGTAAGTATGTCATCATTTCAGATGGACTACTGAATTAAGAGTTTGTAGTTCAACAGGAAGGAGAGCTAAAAATATTTTGGTGAAGAAACAAAAAGCAATTGGGGACAGTTTATATAAAGTATATAAATGTTAGGACTTTCATCTCCTAAAAATATTAGTATCAATATATTTGTGAATGTTTCCCTCATTCCAGTTGTTTCTAGAAGCTGATAACAGAATTTTGATATCACTTCCGGTTAGGATAGTAATAAGTTCCTTGATAATTCTATGGTGACAACCCTCTTTAATTGCCGCACTGCCAAAAATTATTTGAAAACAGACTTAACTGAAAATAATAATAGAAATCCACTTTAAGAATCTAACTTAAAAAAAAGTAAATGACTCCTAAGACGAGTCATAATCATTTTGTAAATTCAAATTCCTGAAAAATCCTACCTTCATAAGCAGCATGTTTTAGAACATAGAGCCATGAACAAGGATAAAGAAACCTTAATTTTTTTGTTTGATCACTAATACCATTAACTCAAAGTCATCTAACTTTGTATATTATTCATTTTTCTATCCTATAAAAAAGGAACTGTAAATAGCTTTCCTTACCTGTATCCTTGAAACGATATAACATTGAAGATTGTGCCCTAAAAGTTTTAGTATCCTAAGAGAAAAAGCACTATATAAATGCTAATAATTTAGTATTGTTCTCTGTCACTTAAAATTAGTGACATCATCCTGTCTTCTCTGTGATCTTTATCAAGAGAAGAAGTATAGGGGGACCATAACTAAATGGGTATATCTGATACTTACACTACTGAGAATTTTAGTAAATAGAATGATTTATATTTCCAGTAAAATGTCTATTATTTAATAATCACAAAAGTAATAGGAGAACTTCAAATAGATAAAAATTTGTGTTTTATTTTATTTACTGTAAATTTTTTCTATTTCTGTGTTTTGAATCTGCGTGTTAGTTGAAACCCTTGAGTTGGTAGGCAAGCACACTGCAATTTTTGCCCAGCACCTTTGTATTAGAGTTGTTTAAAAATAAATTCAGACGTGTTTAACTATACCACTGTAAGTTTCCACAATATTTAACAGATATGTGAATCTGAGAGAGGCTCTTTAATATAAGAGCTGCAGTGTTCTATAATCCCTACTAAGACTTAAGGTTGAGAAACCTGAGGGAAGTGTTGATAGAATATTCACTAAAATAAAACAATACAGATAAATGAACTTTAAAAATGACATTTTATGGTTATTATTGTATGATTTCCATTTATTGTTGATCCTGAGATGATGATGGGTCATTGATAGTGATTATGATAATCAGAAACAAAAATAATTTCTTACTGCCAAGAGATTTCTTTGAATCCTCTTACATCTTTATCATGGATCTTTATGTTTTTAGAACTGTTATTTCAGTTACGTTCCTGCTGGCTTGTAGACTATTAATCACTTTGGATATCACCATAGTCCAGGTTTTCCTGATCATGTTTTCTTAGGATAAAATAGTCATGTACATGGTCCATATAGCCATTTAGATCTTTGTAGAGAGCCCATCCAACATTGTAGCCTCTCCATAAGATTAAGGTTGTTCCTTTCAACACCACTTTAGTAACTCATATTCATGCCCATAGCTACACCCAGGACTCTTTCCTCACCGTGAGCTAGCTATTCTACCTCTGAACTTAACTTCAATATCTCTTTACCTAGTTAGTCTACTTTAATTGCCCTTAGTTTCTTCCTTTGCCATGACTATTAATACTGCAGTCATATAGACCCTATTAGCAGTTCCTTGCTCTCTCAGTGCTATATGTTCTGCCCCTATTCTTTTGGACCCTGTCCCCCCACTGTATAAATTATCCATTTCTCTTATTTTCCTAAAAAATTCTTTTTTTTCTTTTCAAACATGTTTTATTTTATAATGATACATAACCAAATTCTTATAGAAGAGTCAAATAAGGGCAGCCCGGGTGGCTCAGCGGCTTAGTGCTGCCTTCAGCCCTAGGCCTGATCCTGGGGTCCCCAGATTCGAGCCCCACATCAAGCTCCCTGCATGGAGCCTGCTTCTCCCTCTGCCTGTGTCTCTGTCTCTCTCTCTCTCTCTCTCTCTCTGTCTCTCATGAATAAATAAATCTAAAAAAAAAAGTCAAATAATATAGAAATACAGAGACTAAGTATAAATTTCCTCTTTATCTGCCCATCTCACATTATCACTCTTCCCACTATATGCAACCATTATTTTCAGTTTAGTCTGTGCTGCCACAGACCTTTTTTCGCATGCATCTCTAAAATATACATATATATATATATATATATATATATATATATATATATATACCATTTTTGTTTGTCTCAAATTCTTATTTAAATTCTAGTTAGTTAACATATAGAGTAACATTGGTTTCAGGAGTAGAATTTAGCAATTCATCAGTTACTTGTAACACCCAGTGCTCATCACAAGTAGTGTCCTCCTTAATACTCATCATCCATTTAACCTGAACCCCACCCATCTCCCCTCCATCAACCTTCAGTATGTACTTTTCTACTTAAGAGTTTCTTCTGATTTGTCTCCCTCTCTTCCCTGCCTTCCCCTATGTTTCTCTGTTTTGTTTCTTAAATCCCACAAGTGAAATCATATGTTAATTTGTCCCTCACTGACTGACTTGTTTCATTTAGCATAATATACTCTAGCTCAGTCTACGTCATTGCAAAGGCAAGAGTTCATTCTTTTTGATGGCTGAGTAATATCCCATTGTGTGTGTGTATTATATAATATATATATATATAATATATATTCTAGTGTGTGTGTGTGTGTGTGTGTGTGTACACCACATCTTCTTTATCCATTCATCAGTCAATGGACATTTGGTCTTTTTCCATAATTTGGCTATTACAGATAATGCTGCTATAAACATTGGGGTGCACGTGTCCCTTTGAATCAGTATTTTTGTATCCTTTGATTAAATACCTAGTAATGCAATCTCTGGGTTGTAGTATAATTCTATTTTTAACTTTTTGAGGAACCCCCAACTGTTTTCCAGAGTGGCTGTACCAGTTTGTATTCCCATCAACAGTGAAAGACGGTTCTCCTTTTTCCACATTCTTGATAACATCTCTTGTTTCTTGTGTTGTTCATTCTAGCCATTCAGACAGGTTTGAAGTGATGGCAGTTTTTATTTGTATTTCCCTGATGATGAGTAATGTTGAGCTAGGAAAACTCTTAGATATCCTTCAAGACTCAGTTCAAGTGTGAGCTCCTCTGTGACATGTCCTCAGAATTCTCCCTAGGCAATGTCCCAAAACTAATTCTTCTTGTATACCCATTCTGTCACTTCTACCTTAATCATTTTTTCATTTATTTACTGAATTACCTATTCTCAAGGAAAACATTTCCAAAATGTAGCCAAGGTAAAGAAAATTGTACAAGCATACCTCAAAGATACTGCAGATTTGGTCCCAGACGATCACAATAAAGTGAATATCACAATAAAGTGAGTCAAAATGTATTTTTTGTTGTTTTCCAGTGCATATAAAAGTTGTGTTTATACTATACTGTAGTCTAGTAAATGTATAATAGCTTTATGTTTAAAAAACAATGTATAAACCTTAATTTAAAGATACTTGATTGCTAAAAAATGCTAACTATCCTCTGAGCTTTCAGTGAGTCACTGATCACAGATCACTGTAACAAATATAGTAAGGATGAAAAAGTTTGAAATATTGAAATAATTACCAAAATGTAATACAGAGACATGACATAAGCAAATGCTATTGGAAAGATGGTGCCAATAGACTCGGTCAATACAGGGTTGCTATATACACTCAATTTGTGTTAAAGAAAAAAAAAACAGTATCTGCAAAGCAAAATAAAGGTAAATGCAATAAAACAAGGTATGCCTGTAATTAACTCCTTTTTTAGCATAAATAGAAATATGTCAAACAAAACATTGATAGATCCTAGAGAAAGGAAAAGAATTATAACCTCTAAGATTTAGAACTTGAAGTTTGTCTAGAATTGTCCAAGGAGGAGTTAACTTTGGTAATGTTTCCTAAGTAAAAGATAACTTTCCTTTTGCTCCTCAAAAAAATGATCCAAACAACCTGTGATAATAAGCCTGAGTTTATTCTTCCTGTCATCTTTTAGGTAGCCAACCCAATTCAGACTTGATAGGGGTGTCCCCACACACACTACACCAAGCAATTCTCAGACACCAGCAGAATGTCCAAGAATTCAACTCAATTCTGACACTATCTACCCAGAAATAGCATCAGAGTCCAGAGTTTAAAGATTCAGTCCTACAAAATAGTAGGACTGAATTTTTGTCCTATTCAGTCCTACAAATGGAATATACTAGATATTCCATCCATATTCCACTTCAGATACCAGTCACAAGCCCCAGGCTGCTACTTGTGCTTCTGACCAACCAGCTACAGGTTGGAGGTTCCAGCAACCTCCACCTTAGGTTCCATTAATCTTCTAAAGTGGCGGGGATCCCTGGGTGGCGCAGCAGTTTAGTGCCTGCCTTTGGCCCAGGGTGCAATCCTGGAGACCCGAGATCAAATCCCACATCGGGCTCCCGGTGCATGGAGCCTGCTTCTCCCTCTGCCTGTGTCTCTGCCTCTCTCTCTCTCTCTCTCTCTCTCTCTCTCTCTCTCTATCATAAAAAAAATTTTAAAAAAAATCTTCTAGAGTGGCTTACAGAATTCAGGGAAACACTTTTGTTTAGCAGTTTCTTAAAAGATATGATAACAGATACAAATTAACAGCCAGATGAAGAGAAACATAGGGCAGAGCCCAAACAGAGGAGCTTCTGCCCTTGGGGAGCTTGGGGCTTGGTGCGGTGGCATGTGGAAGCTGTCTGGTTCCCTAAGCATGGAAGCTCTCCATAAAAGAAGGGCCAAAAAGCTCTTCTTGGTTCTTTAATGGAGACTTCATTACATAGTTATGATTGACTAAGTCATTGACAACTTGCTGATTCAACCTGCAATCCCTCTCCCCTCCC